AGCCATGGAATTTACAGTCTTTTCTTGACTGAGCAGGGTGTTTCATTGGATGAGCTATGTTCTGAAATAATTAGAGCAAAGGCAATACAGCTAGTCAGGACAAATTAACTTGGTCTGACTGGTCTGAATGAAAAGTATATTATAGAGTGTTATACCTGAGCTTTGTAAATCTCACATTCCACTTCTGGTTCTTCATTTCCAACCTTGAAGGACTTACAGAACCCATACCGCTGGAGAAAGAGACAGTGAGTTAGAACTTTGGGAACTTCATACAAACTCCGTAACTTTCATTCTTCAGACCTGTATGTGTGTGTGTGTGTGTATGTGTATGTCTTAGCTTAGGTCAATGTAATCTAGAATAGCCAAAATTCTAAATTCTTGTTTCATTTATAAAGAATCACTGTCTTGTGTCGTGACATTTTAAAGTTAAAACTCTGCCTAGATCCTTGTCACCTTGCTCAAAAATTAATAAGATTACCATTTTGTTTGTGTCGTTGGCCACGAAGTAATATGAACAGAATCAGTAATGTACACAGACGTTAACGTCTCGCTGGACGACCATTGATAAAGTGTAAACTATTAAAATTTGAAATCAGTTCTAATCAGGTTGACTCCGAATTTTCAGATTCGAGTCCTCTCAAAACCTGAATTAATTAATAATAATTAATTCCCTAATAAAAGTAATCTGACATTACAACACTTCAAAAAAGTTTGGACAGAGGCACTTTTAACACTGTGCCACATCAACCTTCCTTTTAATTACAATGTTTAATTTGGGAATTGAGGATACTAATTGTTTTATTTTTGCAAGCAAATTTTTTCTCACATTTCCATTGTCTTTCTGACTATATGAGATGAGCCTCTGGCCCAGAGAACCCAGCGGCATCACTGCATATAATTGACGTATAGCTTTCTCCTTGAGGAACAGAGATTCAAGTTGCATTTATTGATGCAGTGGCAGACTGTGTGAAGTGACAAGCAGTTTTCTGAAGTACTCCTGAGCCCATGTGGCTATATTTAACACAGCAGCATGACTAGGGAAGCAACGATTATAGATTTTGTTGGTACGATTATTGTCTGAGGAATAATCACAGTTTTACGATTGTGACGCTTATTATACATTTATTAATTTCCCAACATTACTAATGTATAAAATCACATGAACACTCTTTAGATATTAAAGTGTTATTTATTGCTGGCTTTTGAAACAGAAATAACACCTTAACCAACAATACAGCACAACATAATAATAAACAAAAGACAAACAAAAGTCCATCTCTCCCATTGGAATTTTAAAAAAGTGACCTCTGCTCTGTAAACATCCATGACAGTATTTCTCTTTTGAAAATAACAAATGGAAATAGATTACAAAAGTATTTAATGTTTTCAGTTTGTACATTCTTTACATTTTTTGGACCTGGGGTAGAGAATTTGGAAACATGGTGAAATAACAAATCTTGTTGGTTTTTACTTATGAATATTACTACAACAGGGATAGTAAATAACATAGTTAATGAAGTAGCCTATTATTAATATATGACTAATATTAACTTTATTTGTCCCACATGGGAAACTGTTACTAATGATGAAAATAAACTGAAATATTATTGTAATCAACTGTCATCCATACGTATTCATTTTGATAATCTCTATAATAATTCATTAGAGATGCACCGATTGCAATTTTCTTGGCCGATTCCGATTTCTGATTTTTTTAATCTGCCGATATCGATTTTTGCCGATTTCGATTTTCTTTCTAAGAACTATAATTGACAGCATATACAAACAAAAATCTACTTTTCTTCAACGCAAAGTTTTATTTTCATAAAAAAACAAGTAAAAAGTCAGTAATAAAATAAGAACACAAAAAATTTGAAAAATTTGAAAAAATAAAACGTTTTTCAGGTAAGTTTTTATTCAGGTAAGAAATACTACAGAAATTAAAGTAATCAAATGTAAAATAACACATCCAGTGTTATTTTACATTTGATTACCTTAATTTCTTTAGTCTTCATTGTAAAAATTAAATACAGATTAATGCTTACCATTAAAGTTATAAAACGTATTCAGTCAAGAGCAGAAAGTGATTTTCTTTGTCTTTTGTTCTTTGATTAACATGACAGACAGCAGCAGGAAAATTGGACTGTGGTCCCTTTAAGAGTTTATCCACGGACCCAATATATAGGGCCGGTTTACACCTGGTCATTTCATTTCATGCGTTTTCGCTGATCGGATTTCTATCTGATTTGTTAAAACGTTTCCATTTACACTTGGCCACATAAATGTGTCATTGCAAAATGGATATAAATCCATCTTCAATTCCCGCACTATATTTAAATTTAACAGAGTTCACGTCAACGAAATCAAAAGATAAGCGCTGCATTTTATTAATTATCAGCTAATTCCAAGATCAAAGACCGCAATAGGAGAGCGCGCGGCATCAGCACTGGAAAGATAAGTTTGTCTTACTACTTTTAATGAAGATGATTGGGTGTTGACCGTCTGCGTACTTTCAGTTTCATTCGCGGCAGTTTGCGCGTCGGCTTGCTGAAGATATACTCAGCTACTCGTCCGCAGCGATGCCTGTTGCATTAGCGCAGTCTGACTAATGTCATATAGCCTATCTCACACGTTTATTATTTTATCATTTTGGGAGGAGTAAAATTTACATATGTGGTTTCAACAACCAGATACATTTACACTTGTCGAGTTTTGTCTGGAATACGGCCCAGACCACCTCCTGAAGTGGTTTGAGCGATCGGATTTATATCCGTCTCGAATGCGTTTCGGAAGGGCATTTACACCTGGTCTTTTCACGATCGGATAGCTATCCGATCAGAAAAAACCGCATGAAGTGACCAGGTGTAAACAGGCCCATGTTACACACAGGGTTAAGACCTCACTGGGCCCCGGGACTATGACTTACTGCAGGGCCCCCCCGTCACAATAATGATATAGCTTAAAATCTGATTTTTATCCAGAATGAAGTGAAGAGAGGTGAATGCAGACATTAGGCGCAGCGATCACCTGATAGATAGGCTACGTGCACAGTTCGTTCAAAAGTAACGAACAATTAAAACAATTGTTGTTAAAACAAATTCAAATGTGACGTTTTAATCTCTAATGGTAATGCATGGAATTTACGGAAAACTCCACTAAATATTAGCGCTAAAAAGTGAGTGGCGTGGTGGTGCTTTGGCGA